GGGCGCCGCCTGCCGGAGGCGGTGGGAGCGGGCGGTCGGGGCTCGAGTTCCGCCTCCGGGCACAGCGGAGCTGCCGGCAGCGGGCCGGGCGCTGCGGGGACTGCGCTGAGCGGCAGCGTCACCTCCCGGGCACACACGGGACACGGAGGCTCCCAACAGAGCGGCTGAAAGTGCAACACACGCCCTGTCCTGGGGAAGGCAGCCGCCCTTGCTACTGGCTTTCACATAGCGAATTTCACTGCTTAACTGAAATAAAAGCATAAACTCCGCCTTTTTCTTGGTACTATTTATTGCGAATGTTGCAATGTCATGTAGTTTCCAACGAAGAAATGACATGATTTGATAGGTACATCATATAATTAATTGGAAGACCCTTCCATGACAATTCTAGAGATATATCTATATATATATATAGATACATATAGATATATATCAAAGCCATTCAAATGAGAAAATGCAACCTTGAAAATGAAGTAGAGGATTTAGTCCTTGCTGAACCATACAAGAGTATGTGTATTTAAGTACTTTACACAAAGGAATTCTTGTGTACAGAAAAGTGACCTTGTTGATTATCTGATACAATCAAGTGTGTGAAATATAGTCTCTTACAGAAAGTATTCCATTTCTTCATGATTTAGTGATCTTCTTTCAGCTTGGAGTGCTCTCTTTCATAGTCACAACTTGAAGCAGATAGTCCATCATCTAATAAAAGGAGAAATATATTATTTATAGATCAGTCCTGAAAAAAGTAATTCACTAAGTTAATAAACCTACTATAAGTTAATAAGTCTAATAGATAACTGCTCTTTGCATTCACACAACAAATGTATTCCTAATAATCTTTCCCAAACAGACTCCATTTGTCTTGGTTAGTGTAATAACCAACTGCCAAAGTAGGAGGAAAGTCATTCTCCCAAATAATTCTGTGTGCCACCTCATTTATATCCTGTCTCATTAGCGTGAAAAAGCCAAGTAATAGAAACAATTTAAAGTTTATTTTCCAACTTACTTTTGTACTTAGTCCAACTTGCAGGAGGGATTTCCATCCCCTTTAACTACATGAACTGTAATTTATTCACAGAATAAAGAGCAGGCAAGGTATTAACTGAAAACAAAACAAAAAAAACCACAGATGCACCATCCTAAGCCAAACTCCATGAAGTATTGGGCTCACCTCTTCCATTTTTTGACTATTTGTGTGTTACAGCCATTTCCCTCCTCTAGGTGAGTCCTTTAGAAAGAATAATTTTCTTCTTAAAAAATGTACAGCACAGTGTGAGTATCAGTAGTCATACACTGAATGACTTGGGCTAGTAAGACCCTGAATTGAGCTACCTGAGGTACTTATCTGTATTTATTTCTAGCTTTGGGGCTTTGTAATCTTAAATTTAAAATTCAGGCTTTAAATTAAATCAGCTACATTTGAAAGCATCCATGGAACAAAGTTCTTGGAGTCTGCTTGTTCCCAACACAGCTAGTCTTTGCTGCATGCAGCAGGTGGAGCACAGGGCTGCAGACACAAAACTCCTCGTGGTTGGCATCTCTGTCAGAGAGGGAATTGCAGCCCTCGGTGGGCATGTGTCAGCCATTCCACAAGCTGGCAGCAAGGTTCATTATTTATCTTCTTTTGGTCACATTTAGTATCTCAGTCCAACAGGTCACTGCACAGGGAACAGTAACCTGCTGCAAATCTGGTGTCCTCTGGTGGCTTCTTCTAGAACAAGTTTCTGTTCCAAACTCACACAAAATATGCCTGGAAAAGTATTTCATGCCAAGGACAAATTTTCTGGATGCTCTGTGCCATCATCCTCAGCTTCCTGTACCTGATAATCCTCTCCTGTGCACGGACACTTTCCACAGCTGTAGTACAGCAGCATCTTACCCCAAGGTGTTGTCTAACCAAAGTCTGTGCACCTGAAACCCTTCACATCCTGACAAATCTACACAGTCAACCCCCAAAGGCCAGTTATGCATTTGTACCACTATGCACATGAATGTCAGATGCCGTATATCAGAGATCTACCTTTATAAATAAAGCCTCTTTTATTCAAAATAACTTTTAAATGAAAAATAATTATCATCATTTAAATGTTTAGGAAATTATCAGCCCTCAAAAGCACGTTCCTTTTGATCTTCATGTTTTCTTCACCTAGAAGGAAGACCTCAGAAATACCTTAAATTTCAGGTGCTTTCTTGAAGCCAAGGGGAAAAGAGGACATCATATCCTATCTAGGCTGTGTATCATCAGGTATTTGCATCCAACAGCATGAAAGTATAGCTACAGTTACTTTCATTAGATTTTACTTCAGGGTGGAGACAAAGAAATGTTGATGATGGAAATCAAAGGTTCTACGGCCAAATGAGGTTCTGTAAGTTGTCCTCTATCTTAGTCACAGGTAAAACATAAGCTTTTTTACTAATCCTTGCAGAAATCTGGATGCTTAAGGCAATAACCTCATTATTCCATAAGGATATTCGATGCCTGACCATAGAAACATTAACAGGATGTTAATTTACGGTGAAAGTATACACATACGGATATGATTCAACTTACCAGAGGCAACTTGCAGCCTTCCTAAGTAGTATTTATTGGCAGATACTTTTAGAAGTCAGAACATTTCCCTCTTTACATTAAATAAAGGAATTTGTTCATTTCATTCGATTACAAAGCTGAATACTGCAGAATTGAAGATGGACCAAAGAGTTTCTTTTTTAGATAGTATTAATAATGTGTTACTATGATGCATCACTATCATAAAGCCACAGCCAAAAAGAAACCTGTGGGCAGCATTTGTATCACTGGTGTGAGAGACTTAAATTACAGCTTAATTTAAAGGGTGAATTTTTACCCACATTCAAATAAAAGCCTAAGTATTCAGTGATTTGATTGCACCAGGATTTCAATAGGGAAACCAGGCTGAAGTTGGCCCAGGAATATTAATGACATCATATTGCAGAAGAATACGGGAAGGAAAAAATCTTCCCATTGATGTCTTAAAGAGGGCATACTAATCTTTTTATTCTATTTCATTGTTACCCAAAAGAATTCTGCAGCTTTATCACCACGATTGTGCCTGAGGCATTCTAAGGAAAGGAGTTTTCTTGTGGGTCCTATGATTTACATTAGACCCCAATTACTTTCTGTAAAACCTCACTGTTATCCTTCCCAGTGTATTTTATAGGATTTCCAGAAAGACTAGGAATTAATCTGTTCCAAAACCTTGTTATCTCATGCAACAGCACTAGGAAGAACATTAATTTGAGGGATGAGGAGGGGCAGCTCATCAGTAGCCCCAGACTCTTTTAGCACACCCAGGAATTACCACAGCAGTAGCCAGCACCATGGGCTGGAGAAAAGGCAAAGGAGACATGGACAAAGCTGTGACCAGAGAAAATTCTGCAGCCCTGGGGCTTTACTCAGTCCAAGGCAGAACATCCTGAATGCTGATGGAAGGGGACAGTCAGTGTGATGTGGTTCCTCCTGCCTTCACACTTGTTTTTCACACTAGCTTGGCTTTGCTGGGCAATATGTGCTGCTGATGTGGTCACCTAAGCATGAGGAAAACAAAAGAATGGCCCAACCAACCAGTTTGAAGGGACTAAAGATCTAAGATCCAGGCACTAAAATCTGCTGAAGGCATGCCATGTTTATGCCTAGTAGCAAATGAAGTCATCACAAATACAACCAGTGAGTGACAATCTGCAATCAAGAGCAGAATCTTACTGTACCAAATGTCTAATACATGAGATGCGTTTCTGCTGCTTTTCTGGACAACCCACCAGTTAGGGGAAGCTGATATGTTACTGTAAACCAAAAATTTAACACATGGAGTATCTTTACAGGTTTTTATCTTACTTACATGTTTCCAACTGCTATTGTCATCTGTCTCCCAGGTGTTCCTGGTGTACCAGGGAAGACCTCCTTTTAAAAAATGACCACTTTTATTTTCATTCCTTTCCAGCAGCCTTAACAAATATTTTGAGATTTCTTCCCACTGCAGATACTCCTCCAGCTGCTTGATATTATTGGGTAATGCTGAAAATGGTGTCTTGTTTTCTTCTTCAAAGCCATAAGGAAAATCCCCAGTGCTTTTTTTCCCCATTAAATGTCCTGCAACAACAATTAAAGTAGCACAAAATTAACCAAAACCGGCAAAGACTTGCTTGTTCAAACTTCAGGGGGACTTTGCGGGAAGGGAAGGGAAGGGAAGGGGCTAAATAACGTTGAATTGTTGCGCTACTGGGACAGAAGATTTTGTCAGTGTCACACACAATTAATTTCTTCTGTCTCTTGTGTTACATTGTCAGAGAAAACGTGGCTGAGAAAGGGGCAGTGATAACCAAGCACTTTGCCTGGAGATAGAGAGAGGCACCTGCTAAGATTTGCTGGACTAGAAGTGGATGGAGAAGCTGTAGGTTTTAGACTTACCCTGTCTCGACACAGGACGCAGGAACCGCGTGTTGCAGTGCCTTTGAAGGAGTTAAACTACACTTACCCACAGCCCAGTGGCTGCCGCGGGGGTAGATCTTGG